TGATTGACTGGTGTCAAGTTTTTGCAACTGAATATAACGCCATATGGAGAAAATGATGCAGGGTCATTCCTTTGAGAATGCTGAAGGTTAATTTTGATTACAGCTATCACATTTAATAACTGTTCTTTCAGTTTATTCCTACACTTTACCTGTCAGGATTACATTATCATTACTGATGAAGTCGTAAAGATGGTAATGACATATGGCAGTTATAAATATGGTTTTGGTATCCTTCAGAAATTTGCCATTCTCCATTTTAAGCACGTACAGAAACTTCAATCTACCTATCAATAGATTCAGATTGGAAATAAATGGTATCAAATACCTACACAGTGGAAATATAAACACATATGCAGTATAATGTGATCCTTTATTGACAACGTTTCACCCACACAGTGGGCTTTTTCAAGTCACACACAGATTATTGGTGCTGGCATTACTCTGTCAGATGTAAGCACCACAACCCAGCTGATCATAAGCTGTCTAGAGGAACTTGTCAAATATTGGCTTGAAGACTCAGTACTTGTATTGTCATGCACTGTGGGCGAAATAATGTGTTTTTCTGGGTGTCACAGTTGCATAAAAAAGTGGTCGCTTAAATTCTCTGAACAAGTTCCTGACTGAATTTTTCCCCTGACAATTATGTTATATCCTTTTATGTGATACAAAGCTGTACATTGTATCTAAAGCATTAAGCTCTACATTGGTATTGTTACTATGCAATTTAGTACCAGTTCATGTAAGCAGACAACACATTACGTTGCTTTAATTTTGTCAAAGTTTGGTTTTCCTGGAGGGTTAGGGTCAGGCTAACTTGGGAAATCAATAAGCCTAGCTTACCGGTACGCAAAACAGTCCACTAACTCCCAGGTATCTATGAAGTAAATAAAAGAAACAATACCCTGACTGGAACAATACACAAATAACCCGCACATGGGAGAGGGGAGCTTACCACGACGTTTCGGTTCGACTTGGACCATGTGACTTTGTAAATGGTCAAAGTCGGACCGAAACGTCGTCGTAAGCTCCCCTCTCCTATGTGCGGGTTATTTGTGTATCTATAAAGTGCTAGAAGAGAGAAGCAGCAGGTGTTAGAAAACTTACCCATACATCTCACCGCTTCTCCAAAGAATTAAACCTTATAATGTGAATAAATACTTTAGAAAACCACCAGGTTGATAACTGAGATACTTGTCCAACATTCGGGTATCTTTATTTTGGAAACGTTTCACCAGCCAGTGGCTTCAACCCAGTGCAGTGAACGGTGAAACATAGGAGGAGTTTGAGGTAATCATTCCCTCAGCCTAGAGTTGATGTGTTCAGTCCATCAGTGTCTTATCTGTTCCTAATGTTCGGCACACACATCACTAAGAGTAGCCTATTATCGAGAATTTCTTATATTTGTATCAATTTTTTTTACACTACCGGCAAACGCCTTTATCTACTTTTTACTACAGCCTGGTTGAGCAGGCAAGCATTGCAAGCATGGACCAAGGCCAGGGCGGTAAGTAAGGCACTTCACAGGTATATATTTGACGTGTTGTTGATATGAATAAGTGTATAGACTTATTGGTTATAACCAGAACCATAAATTTTAAGGGTGGGGAGGTAAGCCAGTGGAAGGCCTCGGCCAGATGACTAAAAACTCCAGTTGCGGATCATCATATGACTAAGACCCGCGTCAGGAAACACTTGTCATGTTTCCTGACAAACCTTACTTAACCTAAGCTCTTTACGTACACTTGTTATTCTCCATCATTATACCACGTCCTTCAACATTACCGCTTATTTCTCCACGGTAGTCAGTTTTCTGATTGTAGCTTGGTCTTCGGTGGTGTATCATTTACAACCTGCATTCAACTTCTCCCCTTATTTTTGTGTATTCGTTTCTGCCTCTCATGCTTGCTTTCCAGTTCTCAGTGGTTGGATTTGCTCTGTTTCTTCCAACCTCTCTCTTTTTGCTTCTTCCATGTCTCTTCGTCATTCCTGTATTGAACCATGGCTTCTTGTTCCGTTACTTTTTTGCATGCCTGTATTTGTACCATCATTGCCTCTTGTGTGTACCACTTTTAGTACATTTTTATAAGTGTGTACCATTAAGTTTGATTTATGAACCATACAAGTTTGATCTATGTGTTACAACTTACCGCTAACTTTATATAGCTAAGCTGCGGATGCTTGAGAACAACGTGTTAATTAATAGACTAAGCTTACCACTTACGCAACTTTGACTACTAGGCTAAGCTTGCTGGATCTTAAAAGAACGTTTAATTAATAACTAAGCTATCTACCATTTACGGCTAATTTTGACTACTAGGCTAAGCTGTTGGATGCTCATGTAGGATACTTTTAAGTAAAATCATGTTTCAGTCATTGGACTACCAGTATTTAAGCTTAGAAGCTGCACTTAACCCGGCATAGTTTGCTACTGGTAAGTTGTGGTTTAGCTCAGAGAAGTAACAGTTAAGAAAAAAGAAGTCAGTCATTACGATTGAGAGATCTAGAAAGTTAGACCGTGAGAGAGATGACAGAAGAGAGAGACGAGAGACGAGGAGAGAGAGAGAGAGAGAAGAGAGAAGAGAGAGATGAAGAGAGAAGACAGTAGGAGACATGAGAGAAGACGAGAGAGGGAACAGAGAGAGAGACAGAGAGAGAGAAGAGAGAGACGGAAGAGCTGACAGAGAGAAGAGAGAGACAGAGAGAGAGACAGGAGAGAGAGAGAGAGAAGAGAGAGAGAGACAGAGACAGAGAGAGGGAGACAGAGAGAGACAGAGAGAGGAGACAGAGAGAGAGAGACAGAGGGAGGGAGACAGAGAGAGAGACAGAGGGAGGGAGACAGAGAGAGAGAGACAGAGAGAGACAGAGAGAGAGAGAGAGAGAGAGAGAGAGAGGAGAGAGAGAGAGGCTAAGCTAGACCGACTCGATATGCTGGCAGAAATTTTTAAAAGGAAACTGGACCACTGTCTCCTGCAAATTCCTGATCATCCTGGTTGTGATAAGCTATGTAGGTCTGCGGACCGCTAGCACAAACAGCCTAGTTGACCGGGCGGTCACCAAGGAAGCTGGGCCTATTTCCGGGCTGCGGTGGTTGAAGACGTTTCCAAATTAGACACATGTGCAACACTTGGGCATCTTTAACGAGGGAACGTTTCGTCACACAGTGGCTTCATCAGTCCATACAAAGGAGAATGGTGAAGAACAGGAGTAGTTTGAGGTAATCAGTCCCTTAACCTTGAGTCGATGTAATCAGTAAATCAGTCTTTTATTTACTATGACGGGTTTTCAGTATTTGCCTATTCCCCGGCCCTAGGCCAGGCTTGTTTGGTCTACCTACTTGGAGGGTGTTTCGGGGGGTCAACGCCCCCGCGCCTCAGTCCATGACCAAGCCTCGTGGTGGATCAGGACCTGATCAGTCAGTCGAACCACAGCCCGGCTGTGGTTCGACTGATTAAGGTATCTGTCCAGCTCCCTCTTAAAGGCAGCCAGGGGTCTATTGGTAATTCCCCTCAGTAAAGTGACTAAAATATGTACGATGGTAGTTTATTGTTACTTGAGACCCGTGTTACCATTGTTTTTCTACTCCTGTGTTGCGCCCAAACCATCCTCACAAATTCTATGTATTTCTCAGATACGATTTACAGAAAATGTCTCATTTTAATTTATTTAGGTTTAGATTAGACTGGCGTCTATCAAAAAAATAGCCAATTAGAACATACCACAACGGCAATAAATACAATATATGATGGCCATTAAAAAACTAAGAGCCGCGAACAAAATCAGCGACCCACCGAACGCAGAAGAGGAAGTCAGTTACTGTTTACAGCTGGTCAGTTACCCTTTAGACTGTTTTAGCAACAGGGAAATACAATGTGTTATTAAGACAGGCTCCAAGGTAAAGGACCCCAATGGAAATAAGTCACTCTGACTTCTTTTGGGTTATCCTAGGTTCTTTACGCATGTGTATGATAATCTATGTAACTGTATTTGTGTATACGTAAATAAACTTACCTATGGTATATTGTCCTTAGTCTTGTTCTCACTGGCTCCCATTTTCTATGCGAGCATCGAAACGATACATCCATCTATTCATTATTTCACTTATTGGGCATTAACATATATCATAATGGGTTAAACTCGGCCATTTGACGGGAACCTAACCCAGCCTGTGTAACGTGTCTAGAGAAATCACCTTAAGTACATTAACAAAAAAATTCGAAGGTTGTGGTTGATCAGACAGGCTGACTTTATCACTAGTGTAAACTGAAGTCATGTGTAACGTAAATATAAAAATTAATAATATTAATAATCTTTATTTCTACAAGTATATGATACAACTTATACAGACCCTAGATGACATCAGTGACATACTATATAGAAAGTTCCTGGTTATGCGAAGTATTTCATGCAACTTCGGTTAATTTTGTCCCCAGGATGCCACCCACACCAGTTCACTAACACCCAGGTACCTACTTACTGCTAGATGAACAGTGACAGCAAGTGTCTTAAGGACACACGTCCTAATGTTTCCACCAGCTCCGGGGATCGAACCACGGACGTTACTGTGTGAGCTGAGTGAGCTACCAGCAGCAACTCGTGAAAGATATAAATGCTTTTAATAAAGCAGTGAAATTCTTGTCTTATTATTATCCCTGGAAAGGATTCGTGTAGTAGTTGCTCTGGTAATTTGCTGAAATAATTGATAAATGAAAACACAAGCGGAAGTTGTTCCTTGTTTTTAGTAATTACCATCACGATTGCTTTCTTTATTCATGGCAAACTTTTTTTATATACACTTTACACTTTCAGTTTTCAACATTTATGCTTTAATCTTGGAATGTCAAAGAAATTGGATGTTTTAAAAATTGTAGTGTGTGTAAAATAGTTAAGAGAACACTGTTTATGTTTCATATCTTTGTAACGAGGTGTAGAGGCAGTTTGTAATGTTGTATTGAGTGTGGATCCCAAGCAACCAATCAGAGAGGTATTGTTTAATACTCCCCACACTGTCAAGGAGCCACACTTCTGCGCAGGTGTGTGTAGAAACACCGCCAGTGTGGCTTGGGATGTGGACATATGCGCGCGTTTATTTTAATCTTCTTGGGTTATGATGTGTGCAGTGGGGTGATGTGGAGCACTTACCAAGGCAAGTTATGTGGACATGAGACAGTAGGATGGTGGATAGTAACCATCGAGGGAGGCACAACCCTCCTGTAATACAAGCATGAAACACACGCCAGGTAGTAGGTTAGTAGACAGCAACCATCCAGGGAGGTACAACCCTTCTGTAATACGATCATGAAATACACCAGGTAGTAGACAGCAACCATCCAGGGAGGTACAACCCTTCTGTAATACGATCATGAAATACACCAGGTAGTAGACAGCAACCATCCAGGGAGGTACAACTATCCTGTCATACAAGCACGAAAGTAAAACCGTAATTCTTTCCCTATCCTATGAACAATGTACATTCAAGAAACACTCAACTTTTCGTAATTTGTGATGTCGTTAATTCAGGAGGCTTGGTCTGGGACCAGACCGAGGGAACGACAGTCCCCGAGACAAGTATTACTTTTTAATATCAATGTTATTGTGTTTGTGTTCTGATTGTGTTATTTTTGTATGTGTGGCGAGTTGTTTTATTGTGGTGTATTTTGTGTAATTTGCGTTTGTGCTCGCGCGTTCGTTTGTATGCTTTGTGTGTTCAGTAACTATGTAGGTGGTCGTGTTATTCAGTACTGGAGGGAGGGAAGGAGGGAGTTACTGGATTAGTTCACGAACCGCTGCTTCAATCCGGAGCATTTCTTTTTTATATCTGGCTGACTCCGCGGTCGGGTATGCAGGCGAGAGGTCTGGCATAGTTACCATAGCAACACTACGTAAGATGAAGGTTAGCCGTGCGAGAGAGCGAGCGAGCGCATTTTAACGTTGAGTGTAAATATAATGTGTACATTATTACTTACAAATGCATTATATCCTGGGGAAGCACTAAACGCGAATGTGAAGGGTAGCTCCAGTTCCTTGGATGAAGAACCCTTGCATAAAGGCAGCCTTATTGAAGAGTCCTGTCCTGTCAATCTTCCACTTCTCCCCTCATAAACTGCTGTATAGCCCTTGTGGCTTAACGCTTCTTTTTGATCATTATAATAATCCCCTCTTAAATATATTCCCCTCTCTCTTACGCATTCCTTCATTCCCCTCTCCCCTCCATCTACTCTCCTCATTCTCTCCTCTTCCATCATCCCCCCCCCTCGCTTTCCTAGCCTCAGCACTGTCACTTGTAATCGTTTGATTCTGCAGTCTTACCCGGCATAAACTATCGATTTTGTCACCTTGAGTACACTCATTCATTCTCTCACTCACTCTCTCACTCACTCGCTCTGGTGTTTTGTATTTGTCTAGAATTGTGTTGTCTTGTTTCTTTGTAGTTTAGCGAGGCGAATTATGTGAGCTAAGCCAGGCTGTGATGTATGTGGCCCAGGGCCACCAGCAGCAACAGGCTGGTTATAACAGGGAAGCCTGGCCCAGGACCACCAACAGCAACAGGCTGGTTATAACAGGGAAGCCTGGCCCAGGGCCACCAGCAGCAACAGGCTGGTTATAACAGGAAGCCTGGCCCAGGGCCACCAGCACTAACAGGCTGGTTATAACAAGGAAGCCTGGCCCAGGGCCGGGCTGTGGCACTAGGAAAACTCTGGAAACTCATCACGGGTATATTATCTTGTATCCCAGACCTTCAGTGGAAGATAACTTAGCTTATCCCAGACCTTCAGTGGAAGATAACTTAGCTTATCCCAGACCTTCAGTGGAAGTAAGTCAAGCTGACTGACTTTATCGTATGCTAAGTGAACATTATATAACGTGTATAATTTACATAAGAACATAAAGGAGGGACACCGCAGCAGGGCTACTGGCCCATACTTGGCAGGTTCTTCTCAAACTCTCTAATAAAAATATTTGCTCAACCCATTTTCACTGCCACCCAAGGAATAAGCTTTGATAAACTCGTGTGCAAGTCCCACTCCAATCCAACCCATCTCTCACGTGTTCGTCCAACCTTTATTTGAAGCTGCCCAAGGTTTTAGCTTCAGTAACCCTACTGGTCAGACTTCCACTCATCGTCTACACTCCAGTCCAACCCTTCTCAATCGTGTATCTAAAATAAGAACGTGATTTTGGGTATCATTTGAGATTGATGAAGTCATCAATTTTTATGTGCGAGGGGCAGGGGTTCACGTATCAGGTCACAGGAGGACTTGACTAGCCAATGATAATTGGCTACACCTTGGTCATAGCATGGAAGTACTCGCCTAATTCACCAAATTGTGGTTGCAGAGGTCGAGTCTTAGCTCCTGGCCCAGCAAAGTGTTATTATCATAAGGGACACCCGCGTTTTGACTTTAGTCTCATTCGAGACGCCTGGTCAAGGAAATGTATAAAAAAAAAAATACTTTCTCCAGTGTTGATGGATTGATAACATCCTTATTTCACTACTGATAACTACAGTTAGGTATCAGTAAAGATAACTAACACGCACCTATATACACTATATAGGTGCGTGTGTGAGATATAGTTGTGCAGAGCGAACAGAAAACGGGGAGCCACTGAGCATGGTAGACTTCACTGTCACATTCTCACTGTTTAACATGACTCACGAAATCGTAATGACACGATTGCAAACAAACCATACCACGGGAGGGGATAGAACCCGCGGTCAGAGTCTCAAAACTCCAGACCGTCGCGTTAGCCACTGGACCAGCTAGCCACAATAAGATTCGTCCAACTAGGTATATTTCTACACCATAGGAAGGTTAGCATAGGCACCACTGTGACCACAAATGCAAGTTTTTACAGACGAATCTCCAGCTAGCGTGGCCGTGACGAACTCTAGCTCAAGTCCCTTCACTGCCGTCAACATGACTTGCATTTGTGGTCACAGAGGTGCCTGTGCTAACCTTCCTATGGTGTAGAAATATACCTAGTTGGATGAATCTTATTGTGGCTAGCTGGTCCAGTGGCTAACACGACGGTCTGGAGTTTTGAGAGACTCTGACCGCGGGTTCAAATCCCGCCCGTGGTATGGTTCACTGTTTAAGGCTGCATAGCCCTTGTGGCTTAGCGCTTTTTTTTATTATAATTCACTGTTTAAGATGCCATCATTAGTCTCCTGTTTGACTGACCTTACAACAGTGAAATAATGACTGTGAGAAAGTGACATGAGAGCATTAAATGCAGGTTGATCCGATCCTCCATTAACGTCAGTAAACGATATTACATATTATTACATATTTTAAAGCACTTTACTACGAGCGTATTGTTTTCAACGAATTTGGCGAGGCAGGTATATATCCCCGTTTTGATTGACAGGTAAATTGAGGTCAGTTTACCATCGTTTATCTAATCCGAAAGGCCTAATGTATAATCTTGTTAGATCGTTGTGAAATCTACTCGTGTGAAAGTTATTGAAAATCCGTGGGTTTTAATGATGGGTTGTGTACGTGTCTTGTTCCTACGTGTTTGTAGGGATCGAGTAATAGCTACTGGGCCCGCCTATTAACTCTTATCAGCTGGTTTCATTGATCTGTCTCCCAAGGCTGAATCATGTCTAATTTCGTAAATGTGTTGGGGTGTGGGTGGGTGTGTGTGGGGGTTTATGGGGGGAGAGTATTGGCCAGGTGATGGAGTTTGAATTTGACATAGCAGAGATTACCATAATTAGATATTGTCGCCGCTGTGGCTAGCTTGTGCACACATTATTCATTGTTCGGAGTGTAGCGCAGGGGCATAGAACTACACGGAAGACCCAGTCACTAGGCCCCAAAAGATTATATTTGGATATATTAACGATAAGTGTTGGGAGTGTCTTGAAGTGGAGGGGAGACCAGCTGGATGTGGGGTGTGGCAAGACTGATGTCACTACTTATATCCAACCCCAGAGAGACTTCTGCCTGCCACACACTCTTGTACCTGTGATTGCTTTCATGGTTTGTACCTCATGTTAATTGTTACTAGGATCATCGCAAAGTCATGATTCGGATAATCATTGTTATCCACGTATGGTTCATCTACCCGAAGTCAGTTTCAGGGATCAGTGCCCCCGCGACCCGGTCCCACATCAGGCTTTCTGGTTGCTAGCCTCATCAACAAGGTTCTTGGTACCACTCGTCAATGATCCACGAATCAATAACCTGTACACAAATACTGGAGGCTCGATTCTCCGTCCACTGTCAAATTCTACAAATTCTACTCTGTATTCCGCCTGTGAACTAGCTAGTGAATGAGTTTTAGCGTGCGATAAAGTAATTATATCCAGTGTTTTTTTTTTTTGCCTCGTAGTGGGTTAGCAGTGGGCAGGTGGGTGGTGGGCAGTGAGGGTTAGCGTGTCTGGTTGCTACACATTGTAAAAACTTGTCCCTCCAGTTAAACTAACACGGAGCCTGCTGTACCACCACGGAACCTATGGGTAGGGGCCCTCTTCTCTGGCGGGGTGGGTGCATGCCTGACTCTGCTTAAATTTGGGGGATATTTCCCTTTTCGTCTAAATTTGCTGACACTGCGAATGACACACAATACTGTGGATAGGGATTGTGAAAAGAGTATTTGATAGTTTTCTTACCTGATGTCCTTTTCACTGGTTTCACACTAGTGGATAACTACATGACGTTTCGGTCCAACTTCGATCATTAACTAGTTAATGGTCCAAGTCGGACCATTAACTAGTTAATGGGTTAGTTGTGTATTGTTCCAGTCACGGTATTGTGACTTAATTCAAATTTAGAATATTTTCTTATGCCTGGTATCTTAAGTAAGATTTGTCAGGAAACAGGATAAGTGCTTCCTGTCGCGGGTCTTGTACATATGACCAGCCCCTGGAGCTTTTGGTCATCTGACCGAGGCCTTCCACTGGCTTACCAGTCCACCCCTTTAAAAATTTTGGTTATGATTAGTTTTGAATTCTCTGGTGTCTTACTTTCACAAACAAGATACTCTGACTTACCACACAAGTTATTATACTCTCTATACATTTCTCAATAAGGGAACACAGTGACCATATGGATTCCAACGTGTTATGTATTTATTTTGACCATTATGTTATGTCACCGAAGTGGCTAGTTTATTGTGCAGCTCATATCCATCCTGTGG